GCCCAGACACAGCAGAATCATAATCTGTTTTGGACTAGCAATCATATCAATATACAACATACAAGCATATGACATAAAGACAACGTCTTTCCTTTACTTTTCATGTCTTAAGGCTTCTCACAAAGCCACAAGCCCTTAATCACTTGATTCTGACTTAGTTCAATTATTACAGAAGTCCCACTTCATCAAACTAGGGTCCACAAACCCATAACATCATTCTGTATTAACAGTGCAGCTACTGTTCTTCGAAAACCCAGAATATCCGGATATATGTCGGGGGCATATCCGGATATCTATATCCGGATATTTCGCGACAGAATGCAGTTTCTGCATTTCGCGAGATATCACTTCCAAGGTTCCATTTTTAACATTTTTAAACGTTAAAGCATGCATCTTTACACTCTTTTAAGGTCATATACTGATTGGTTACTTGTTTAACTCATTAAACATACCAAGACTCCACTTTTACCCATTAAAACTCATGATTAAAGGTTCAACAACTTACCCAAAGCTTAAGACAGCAAGGAAAGGTGCTCTTGGAGCTCACCAACAGCTCCTCAAGTCTGACTTCACAAGGTGCACGAAAATGGCACACAAAGATGGGTCCTTTCTTCACAAAGGTAGCTTCTTGAAGCTCCACAAACCAAGAAGATGACCCCCACAACCCAAACTCAAAACTCATCCCACTCTCCCTACCCCAACAGTGGCTGAACTCAGAAGAAGAATGTTTCCACTCACTCACAAAGCCAACACACACAAGCTCAAGGTGTTTAAGTGGATGTTCAAGGGAGAAATGGCCACTTGGCTCACAAGAATGGAGGAAGAAGGCAATGGAACAATGCACAAACTGACCAGCCACCAAAGAGTCACGTAATCAGAATGTATGACCTAAGGTTTTGGGCAAAAAGGCATATATAGAGGTTTAAGTCTTAAACACACAATATTAGCATTAATAGCTACGCTTAGCATTTTAATCCCAAACTTGAGATTCTGAACCTACTCATTTTTCTAAGATTTATCATATTTTTATTTTATTTTTCGCAGCACCTTTTCGGTACGCGCTTTTCCGTAGCCAGTATCAGTTCTGGCACTAGTTAACTTGTTTTACAAGTCCTATATATTATTTTAGTGACATATACACACTTTTCATAATTTTCCGGGATACTTCACCGGTACGCATTTATACCGAGTAGCAGAATCGGTATCTGCACTTTTCGTCAGAAAAGCGACTTTCAACATTATTAATTACTTACCAATATTATTTAAGCCTCATCATAGAAATTAGGGTCAATTATGGAATTGTTTCCTAATTTCTCACGATTAATTAATTAACTTCCTTAATTAACGGTGCGGGTTCTTACAATAAGGGTCCTAATTGACTTGCTTGGCATGATTGTGTTTTCATAATTTATTTCTTATCAATCGGATGATTAACAAATCAATTCTAGCTTCCGTAATATATTCACCGCAAAATTACATAATATAATTATGTAATTCCATAATTTTCTATACTTGTAATTATATCCATAATAACCATACATAATCAATTCTTAAAAGTTTAGGTTGTTATATAATCCGCCATAGTTTGATGAGTTGGGTTATATTGTTCAACCCATCAATTCAACATAGCAAACCCCTCATGTAGGCGAGTTAGAGGGCAGGTCATCAAGCGGAGTACCTCTCTCTCTCTCTCTCTCTCTCTCTCTCTCTCTCTCTCTCTTTCTTTCAATTATACTCCGGCTCTTTATATTATCTTATATTTTCTTTATCAATTTATTTAAGACTTTAATGTTATACATACAACACATTTGACTTTATATTTTAATATGATATAGCAACAAAGCTTTGTTTCAAAATTGTAACATCTATGCCTGTCTCCAAAGGTTATTTCACAATCAATACAACTGAATTGAACTGACCAAAACTAAAAGACTAACATTTATCTTCAAGCACATGGATCAACTGGCGGAAAGTTGTTCAAATTAGGGGTGTTCATGGTCTGAATTGGATCGATTTTGGAAGCAAAAAATCATTTGATCCAATTTCTTCGGTTTGATCATGTAATCATCCATTCGGTTTGGATTTTTTCCAAATTCGATCCAATTCTTTTTGGTTTGGATTGGATCGGTTTTCAGTTTTTTGAAAAGCCTAAAATTTGTATGATGATCATTGTGCAAATAACATATATTTTGTATGTATCGGCTTTGTAGAGTTTGTATGATGATTATTGTGCAATCTAGATGCATCAATAAACGATAATCTAATTTTCAATATTGTACAACAAAAAATTGAATTACTATCTTTTACCTCCAATAAAAGTATATGATGTATCTTACAAAAAAAAGCATAACATAGATCAAGAACAATCCATTTTCTCCAACGTGATGGATTAATAGGGTCTTGGGTTTAGAATTTTGCTATATAATTTTTGGGCCATGATTAGGGAAAGACTCAAGTAAGTGGAGGGTAAGGTTAATGAATTATTAGATCGGTTTGGATTAGATCGATTTTCCCCAATCAAACCGAAAATGATCCAATCCAATTTTGCGATTTTTTTTCGATTTTCAAATTTTTGGTTTTCGGTTAATTTGGTTATCTATTTTTCGGTTTGGTCACCACGGTTTAAATCGGTTTGGATCGATTGATGAATACCCCTAGTTCAAATCCGAATTAACCAGCGTCTATTGATGACATAACAGATGATTTATACCAAAAAAAAAAAAAACAGACATTTCCAAACAAAATACTATCATTATACCATTTTTTTAATAATAATATTTGTACAAATTTAAAATTAAAACCACACTTCTCATGTAGTGATTCAATATAATTTTTATTTTTTGAATATGAAGTGTTTAGTTAAAAAAATAAATTTATTTATTTTATTTAAATGGTTGACCAATCAACCTGCGTAAAAAAAATAGATTGATAATTCTAATTCATTTATAACTGACTGGTGAACTATTATGAACAAAATAAATATTGTCCATCTGATATCAATTGTTACGAACAAAATAAATAAAAATGGGGATTTGGTTTTACTGAGGAAGTCTAACCTCAAATGACTTTAATGAGGGAGGAAGCCTGACATCTTGCACAAAATGCTTTTTTTCAAATAATTATTCTGATTATCTTTATTCAAATACTTTAAAGTTTAATAGATAATACAAGACAACCTTAGAAATAACTACCCACTAGCACTAGATAAAATAACCTCAGAAGCACGGACAGGCAATTTTTAAAAAAAATTGTGTGTCAAAAACTGACATGCTCCGACACGCGGTCAACATTTTGGGACACACGGTCAACTCTCCGACACCTTTTTTAGACAGGTAGTTAACTTTTTCCGACACGCGGTCAACGCTCTGACACGCTCCGACACGTTTTTTTTTTAGTCTTAATTTTATTTTATTAACTAAATATAAAAAAAAATTATAAATCAATTTTTTTCTGTTACAAAATTTGACATGAAAAATTAACAAAGTACGAAAAATTGTTTTTGTTTATATTTATGTTATAAAATTTGAATATTTGATTGGTTATATAACTTATTATGGACTGTTATATATTAAATATAAATTATATTATATATATATATATTAAAAGTTTTATTTAATATCAAAACGTGTTTCAACGTGTCGAAATATGACATTTTTTAGAATTAATGTGTTAGTGTGTCGTGTCGTGTCCCGTGTCGGTGTCCGTACATTATAGATTCATAGCTAATAACTATAACCTATCATTTAAGAAAGTTGAAATAGAAATAACTACCAACTACTTAAATAATCCAACAATTCAAAAATAATAAATTAAAAATTAAAAATCGTAACATCAACCCGTCCGGTCTCAACTAAATATCATAGAGCGGCAAAAATGGGTTGTACTGCTAAGCTAATCTGTTCTTTTCCAATCTACAGTATGCAAGCCCCGTGGGCTGTGGCTTAACTTGAAATTTCGTTTCGGCTAAGAACAGTGGTATACTGGTATGGTATGCGCTTTTTTTATTAACCTCGTTAACGGGGAGTACTATTTTTTTTTTTTAATTTTTTTTTTTGAATTAATCCAATTTTAATTATTTTTTTTGAGACAAATTAACTTTTTTTCCGCATGCCCGTAAACTTTAATTATTTGAACCAGTTATGATATTAATTTGAAGGACGGACAAGTCAATTATAAAAATATTTAAACTCTTTAAAAAAATGAGATGTGAGATCAAAATGAAATCCTTCCTTTTCTCCTTGCTCATGATAGTTACCACCGTTTTGTTAATGGGAGTCCTATTGGGTATTAGAGATACTGCATTGTTAGGTAATTTGGTTTGGAAACTCTCCCGAGAAAGATTGGTTTGACCCAAAAATACCTTCAACACAATTCCATCTTCTTAATGTCTAAATATGACAGAATCAAACATGCAAATAAAGGACGCGTGTGTGGGGTGATGGTATTTAATTTGACTGTTTGAGCCTCGACATGTGCATTTGTGCACAATTGTGATCCTGAAAGTTTCTCAATCTGCAAATTGTCTTGTACACAACAACTCTAAATTGATTATAAATTATGTTATATGGTTGCTTATTTAGAGTCTGACTTGAATAAACTTAAGTGGAATGTGCTTTTCACTCTGCAATTGAATGTGCTATCGTTTTAATAGATTACTTATACTCTGTTGCCTCTTGCATGATTTTTTAAACGTGGTGATAGTGAGCAACCACGACAGCTTATATACATGATGTTGAAACTGAATTAATTGGTTAATCGATGTAGAGAAATAAAATAATAATAATAATAATAATTTGGTGATGTCTCTCATATGGTCCCCAAACTTTTCAAGAATTTCACAAGACATGCTTGAGCTTCATTAAAATGAGATAAACATATGTAGTTGCAATTATAAAGTAAAAGAATTAATTTTCTTGCCATTTTTTAGATATGATCCACTGCTTTCATCCTCTTAACTTATTTTCTTTTGGTAGAAGATCACAGTTTAACTCAAAAACTCTCTAATTGACCACCCTGCAGTCCTTCCTAACCTCTTGCCCACCATTAATGCTGCTCATTTTGATCATGGACGTCACAAAAGCCTTGAAGAAAGCATCTTGTGAGGTGGCAAACTCAGAAACAAGATCCTTGGTCTTTGGGGTATCAAGAAGAGCTTGATCAGAAGAAAATATGCCCTTCCTTTGGAGGATCAGCTTGTAATATGCATTATCAAAAGTAGTAGAAGAAGTGTCCAAGGTGGTGCCTGCATTCTTTTCCTGGTTTTTTAGTGGACAAATGGATTTTAGTTTTTTTGCAAATGTTGGATTTAATGAAGGGTCCATGTCATGTGTAGCATCAAAATTATGGACTCTGTTCCGGAAGGAAGAGCAGTGAGAGAAACCTAAAGTGTGTCCTCCTACATATATGTCAAAAGAGACACATCACTAGAAAGTAGAAACCCTTCTGTGGTATACATTGAAATAAGAAATGGTTAAGATTAGGCCTTCAAAATTGCTTACCTGATAGAGCTACCAAGTCTTCCATTGAAAGACCTCTTTGAGAGAAGCTCTTCTGTAATTGTGATATGTTGAAGGTTGGTGCTGGTAATTGTATGGTTTCACTGGCCTTAGATTTTCTTCCATCTTTTCTTCCTTTAGGAACATCCCAAACAGGACCTCCAGACTGTAAAATTGCATACACATAAACCATGGTTGTATATGTCAAAGCTCAAGAATATTTCTTTAGGATCAATGTGATGATAAATTTGTTGTTAATTAGTTTTGTAATTTTTTACCAGAAAAACTGCATCCCTTGCTGCTAGAGCTAGGATATCAGCACAAGAGACCACACCAGGGCATGCAGCTTCTACTGCTTTCTTTGCATTATCAATGACGTGGAATGCATGCAAAGAAATATTTGGTGGTCCATCTTTTTCTGCTTTGTTGCTTCCTTTTGAGTTTAGCAGTACAGAGGCATCACATCCCTTCAAAAATGAAAAAAGAAACAGGTATGTTACAATGTATATGTTGAAATTATAGGGACTTAGGCATAGAAGGAGGAAAAAATGGAGAATAATAAATAATATTATATATTGATGTGTTACAATGTGATACAAAAGACAAAATATTAATCCCTATTTATACTTTGGATTCCTAAAATAACGAAACAAATCATGAGATATAAGGAAATAGAAAAATTTATCTTAAGAAATCCAAGATACTCTAAACTATATTAAGATATAATTTTAACATATGATATCATCTAGATATTCTAATGGTAGATAAAAAGTAATTACAAAAGAATGGCAGGTTCTTAGTAGCATTACCCGAATGAAGCAGTCATGGAAGTGCATTCTTAGAAGTGCTGCAGGAACAGTTTTGTCCACAGCATTGGCAGCCTTCACCGTCTTGGCAACAATGAACTCTACATCAGGGCATGTTTTTTCATAGTAGTTTAAGCTAAGTGAATTCCCTTTTGAAACTACAGAAAACATGAGCATTAAATTCAATAACGCAACCATGAAAGCCATGCCAATTAAGACTAGTTGATGATTTTTAGCTTTTAGTTGTGGGAATCAAAGATTAGTAATATGGGTTTTTATAGAGAGAAAAAGAGATTAGTTATTGATTGGTGACAGGAGTGGCCCCAGATGATCAATTTGCTAAGTAGGATTGTCAATGAAGTAATGTTAAAGCTTTGTCATTACCAAATGACAACTCACTTTATTCTTAGTAGACTGAAGGTTCAAGAGTATGGTAGTTTTCAGTGGCTTCTCTTGATATAATGGTGGCGCTGAGGTTTGTAACTATATCTTATGTAGATTATTCAAATCCATCACCACTAGAACAATCTTAATGACTTAATTTGCATATTACTCTTGAATCAAAAGGTTAATTAATACCAAATGTTGGTAGCTCAGTTGACACATAGTAATTGAGCACGTGGGAGTGAAAGTATGTGTTTGATCCTCTCCAGTATCATTTTTAGGAGGAGTTTAAAGCCTTAATCCTGAACTCACCCAGAACTCAGGATTATTCCATATAGGGAACATATGAGATTATCAGGGGAGACTCCAAATAAAAAGTTAATTAATTACATAATTAAGCTAAATCAAGTCAAAAACTACAATTTCATGGTCTTCATGAATGGCAACAACTGGTTGGTTAATAATGTCACGCCCCATGAATTATTGGAGCATGACACATCGTTATGCTATACCTTACTTTCTGGTACTTGTCTAACGTGAGGAATGAAAAGTTTGATGTTACTGTGAGCACTTTTCTGTGACCAAACAATTTGATATTACAGTTCAGGTTTTGGTCTTAAATGGGCCATAGCAAGGTCAGATCAGAATTCGGAACTAAACAAATCAACCATTAGATATATCTTCCCTTGGTTTTACTAGCAAGGTTAGCCAAACTTCAATTATGAAGAAGGAATCTGAGGTGGTTATGGTTGAGCCATCCTAGTTGTTACTTTTTGCTACCAAAACTTGCATTGCAAGCTTTCTGACTTTGTTAGTTGTGATGATAGCGAGGTCTTTACAAAGCTATATATTATTGGAGCCTCCCTGTTAATGTGGTTCAGGGTTTTAAATTGAAATTGCGGTAGCAATGCAGGCTAATGTAGTCCACAATTTTAAACCCTTAGGTGGATTATAGTTCAAAGGGAGCTACTTTTAGAGACACTGTGGCCGATTCAGAAAATTAATGAAAGGTGGACACTTAATAAGTTCAAGTACATATAAATTTGAATTTGGTCTGAAATGCGACTTGCGAGCAGCTACCGGCTGGCTGGGTCTGGTTGAGATCTAGATCTGGACGGATTGCGACTCAACTAGACCCATGATGGACAAAGAAGCAAATATTCCAACTTCTAATAACGAAGATTAAAGGTTTGAGAGGAGATGAATCAGTATCTAAATGCAAATGATGGGTCTGGAATATAGCTCTCTCTCTCTCTCTCTGCTGTTAGGTTTGGATAATGAAGATGATGGAGAAAAAAAACTCACGGGAAAATAAAAAAAAATAGAAGGAGGGAAATTAAAAGGGTAAGATATCGTAACAACCAACTAGGGTTATTACCCATCAATTTCACCGTTAGATCGATTATGTTGATCCAACGGTTATATTTATTTCTATCTTTGTATGGTTATAATCCTCATATTTAATGTAAAAGTATTAAATATGGAAAATCATAACCATACAAAGGTAAAAATAAATATAAAGTATTAAATATGAGGAATTATAACCATACAAAGATGAAAATAAATATGACTGCTGGATCAACATAATCGATCTAACGGTGAAATTGATTGGTAGTAATATTGGTAGTAACCCTAATTGGTTGTTACAATATCCTACCCCAAAATTAAATTGGAAAAACTTGAATTTTAAGAGAAATATATTTTTGTATTTTTGCATCATATTTTAAGGGTGGGCACTTGCCCCCCTTCTCCTTAACCTAGATCCGCCTCTACTTAGAAACATAATAAAAAAACCCCAAGATTGGTTCGAGTGGCAATATGAGCTACTAGGATGGGCTTAAGGGAGTGTTTGGTAGAAAAGAATTTTTTTTTACCAGAGAATAACGATTTTCGAGAATATGGTGGAAACGTAAATTTTTCGGGAATATTATCAAAAAGCTGTTTGGTAGGCCAAAGTATTATTGAAATTTTTTGTCAGATTTTTCACATATAATTTTCCATTTTTCTGGGACAGTGGGAATGGTATTTTTATTTACATTTTACACACAAAATAAAATTTTGGGAAAATCACATTCTTGGATAAATTTTCAAAAATCTTCTATCAAATGTGTATAAATTGAATTACCACTCTCATTTTCCTGTAAATCTAAAAAAAAAAAAACCTCTATCAAATACCCCTCCCCCTCCCCTAATATACAAATGAGCAAGAGGACATCCTCACCCATATATGGGATATCAGGGGTAGGGGTGTGCAAAAAAACTGGTTCATTTGTCATGCCCTTGATCCTACCTTGACCTGACCCATAAATACCTATATTTTTTGAACTGGTTTAAATACTGACCCACTTTTATTTGGGTCAGTTTTAGACTTGACTTGTTTTAATATTTACCCATTGACCCAAAACTTGACCCATATCCATTATGTGAAAAAAAAGAAAAAAAATCACAATTACATTAAAAGAAAAGTTTTAACGTAGAAAAATTATGTCAAAATTTTTTACGAAAAATATTTCCATAAAAAAGTTTTGCAAATTTTTTTGATGAAATCTATTTTCATCAAAATTTGTGACTGAAAATATTTCTGTAAAAAAATTTGACGGAATTGTTTTTTGTCAAATTTTTTTACGGAATCTAAATTTCGTCAAAATATTTCAAAAAAAAAATATATTCATAAAAAATTTCGACAAAACATATTTCCATCGAAATTTTTTGACGGAAAAAAATTTCATCAAAATTCTTTACAGATTCAAATTTCGGCGAAAGTTTTCGACGGAAACATTTTCATTAAATTTTTTGACAAAAAAAAGTTTTGTCGAAATTTTTAGCGAAACACATTTCTATCGAAAATTTGCGACTAAATATTTTCGTCAAGTTTTTTGATAAAAAATATTTCCATCAAAATTTTCAACGGAACGCATTTCTGTAAAAAAAATTCAAAAAAAATTTTGACAAAAAATATTTCGATAAAAATTTTGACGGAAAAAATATTCTGTCAAAATTCTTTAGAGAATCTAAATTTCGTCGAAAGTTTCGAATGAAACATTTCCCTCAAAACAATTTCCATCGAAACTTGCGACGAAACACATTTCCGTAAAAAAAATTTGACGGAAAAAAATTTCAGCAAAATTCTTTATAGATTTCAAATTTCGGCGAAAGTTTTCGATGGAAAAATTTTCATTACACTTTTTGACAAAAAACAATTTCGTCAAAATTTTTAGCGAAAGACATTTCCATCGAAAATTTTCAACTAAATATTTTCGTCAAGTTTTTTGATAAAAAATATTTTGCATCCAAATTTTCAAAGTTACACTTTTTTGTAAAAAAAAATTCGTAAAATTTTTTGACATAAAATATTTCGATAAAATATTTTGACGAAAAAAATATTCTGTCAAAATTCTTTAGAGAATCTAAATTTCGTCGAAAGTTTTGGATGAAACATTTCCCTCGAAACAATTTTCGTCAGAACACATTCCTATCGAAATTTTGAACGAAAAACATTCCGTCAAAATTTTTGACAAAATTCTTTTTTCGTTTAAAACATTTGATGGAAGAAATTATTTTCGTCAAAACTTTTGACGGAAACTAAATTTCGATAAAAAAAATTTTTTTGTAAAAATCTTCATTAGAGAAAAAATTTCGTCCCTTTTCGACAAAAAGTATGCCGACGAAAAAATAATTTTGTGACGAAATTTTTGTCGTTTGCGACGTAGAAATTTCGACTAAATTTTGTGAGGAAACCAAGTCAAAAACGGGACAGGTCAGATCCGACCCGGTTCTGAACTAGTTCAGCAAAATCCAAACCAAGTCAGACCTGACTTAGATCAAATTAAAGCGGGTCGGGTCAAAATACCTGACCTATAAAAACTAAGTTGGGTCGAGTCGGACAAAAACCTGACCCGACCTGCTCCATGCACAGCTCTGATCAGCGACTAGATTTGCTCTGAAAGAATAATCAGGGTCATGAAATTTTTAAAAAATTTATAATAAAATAGTAACCGAAAAGGGAAAAAAAGACAAAGGAAATGTCACAAAAAAAAAAAAAAAAAGACAAAGAAAACATATTGCTTTCTTTTGCGTCTCGTGGTTGTACAACAGCAAATAACGTAATGTGAAGACTTTCTTTTTGTGGGAAATTAGAGATAAAGCGTTATTGAGCGAGTAAAGATAGTTATAATTATGTAATTAAGATGGAAATTGAAATCATGCACCTTTTGGTTGTAAATACTTATGTCAACAGGAATCCTTGGATATTTGAGGCTATGAATTTTCCGGCTTATATTGGTGTAATCAGTGATGAACCCAGGATTTTTTTTATAATAGGGGATAAATATAAAATTTTAAAATTATAAATATTATAAGATTAATAGGAGATACTAACTATTATAAATATTTTTTAGGGAGAGATTAACTATTAGTACTAATAGACTATTATTATTAAAAAACATTATTTTATACATAAAATAATTAAAAATATTAAAATTTAGAGTAGGGGCGAAACATCACCCCACTCCTACTAAAATTTTCTAAAAACATAAGGACCTCATTGATTGTGTTTTGTTTTTTTTGTTCTTAAAACTGTTTTGTAGAATAATTATGAAAATAATTGTTTTCTGTGTTTTTTTTTATTTTGAAAGCTAAAAACCAAAAGAAAAAACAAAAATAACTCAGACATGTTCTCTAAATTTGATTCTAAAAACAAAAACAAAAATAGTTACAATTTTTAAAAAAATTTATAAAACAGGTCTTATCAAACGAGTTTTTTTATTTTTTTTTTCCGAAAACTAAAAAACTATTTTTAAAAACAGTAATCAAACAAAGCCTAAGTTTCTTATTATGAGATCTTTCCCAAAAGGTGTTTCTCTTTAAGCCATTCCGGGCAAAAAAGTGAGCAATTATTATCTGTTGGCTTAAAAATGCGGTAATTGTCTAGTGAGATAAGGTATTATGTCGATTTTTTTTAAGGAATCTATTTATCTCATGTTGCATGAGATAACAGAGATAAAATAGTGAGGTCTACTAGTTTTTTAAAAAAAGAAAAAATAGTGAACCCCACTATCTTGTTTATGTTGCATGAGATAATTATCTCATGCAACATGAGATAGTTATCTCCCTTTTTTTTATATCTATTTTTTGTATGTTTATTTTTTACTTACGCATCTTTAATATGGTTAGATTAGAAGAATCTCAATTAATTTTCACTTTTTCTCTCTCCTCTTAAGATTCTGATTAATGGTATTGAAAAGTAATAGGTAAATTAGACATGAAAAAGCTATCTTGTGTGTAATTAAAAAGTGTAACAATATATCATTCTTGTATTTTAGTTGATAATATTAATGTTTTGGGAGGAATAGATTATTCTACTCATATTTTTTCATGCTTTCCTTGCCTATTTTTTTTAAAGTAGGTAGATTAATCTATACCTTTTCTTTAATACTGTTAAATTACAATCTGTACAAACTTTGGAAGGAGAGAGAAATTATGAAGTTCAGTTGAAATTGTGATTTAATAATATTGAGAGGAAATATTCTTTTTGATTTTCAGCAAATTCCACGATACTTAGTTTAGTCCCTAGCAAATAAAAAGACTATTCGTAGTCTTTAAGAAATTCAAAATGGACCCATTTAGTTGAAATCGTGGTCTCTCATAAATTCAAAAAAGATCCACGTTAGTCCTTCAAGAGAACTAAAATGGGTCTATTTTGAATTTCTTAAGGACCACGGATAGTCTTTTTATTTACTAAAGACTAAAGCGGACATCATAATATTTAAAAAAAATAGATAAGGTAACTAGGTAAAAAAAGAAGAAGATGAAGAAATAAAGTATAATATTCTATCCCTAATATTTTATGGAATAAGAAACTTTATCCTCGTGGTTTCACACTTTTTCAATCTACACTCTGTACTCTGTTGTTTTGTCAATTACTAAACCCTCCTTCAACTTTGATTAATCACGAAAGTGGTAGCTTTGTGTTAATAGGGTGATTGATCCTATGCTATGCAGATTTGAGGGTAACCTTCTTTCTTTTACTTTTATCCCTATAAAAAGAGAAACAATGGAGATTTAAGGGTAACCTGCTGCTTCTTGGATCAAAAGTTTCTATATCTTTCAAAAGCTCATTTCCATCAACTTGTCCCATTCCAAAACCTGTGTTGTCTTCTGCTTCTTTCGTTTTGCAGGAAGATCTTTCAAGGAAACTGCCGAGGATAAGTAATCTCCTAGCTTCCTAAGGAGGAGCATGGTGTTCAATTCCTTTTTTTTCAAGTACAATTCCTTTTCTTTTTTTTTGTTTTTTTGCCCAAGTCAATGTGGAGAAATTTTTCAAGTATTATACTGATGTTCAATTACTTAACAATTTCGTATTTTTATTTGTAATTACTGATTATTGAAATAATTAGACTGAAAAATGAAAATAGCATTCCCTAACTAGCTAGTGCTACAAAATTATGAAGTATCTTCTTTCAAGTTCCTGCTATTTATATAATAGGACAACAGTCTTGGTTTCCGGGCCATTACAACAGTAATTCTAGCCCATTATAATGGGTCAAAACCTTAACTATTGTTAATCTATTACCCCTTTAAAATCTTATTTTTTTTTTAAGTCATTTGACATGTTATTAAGATTACAAGTTTGAAAATAGACTTTGCAAAATATTGTCCATATTTTAAAGGGTAATAGTTTTCTCATGTAGTAGGAGATAATAATTATCTCCTACTGACTCATTTATATAAGTGGGGTCCACTTTCAAGGGAAGAGAAAAAAAAGTAAAGTAGGATTCATCTTGAACTTGTGTGTAGGAGATAAGTTTTTTCTTATGTAACGTAAGAATAATAAATCCCTATTTTAAAATATTAACTACAACACCAAAAAACTTAAGCCAAATGAGGATTTGCTTTAGAAGCGTAAGGCCAAAAAAATGGATAAAGTGATGCCAATCAACTGCCATATAACGTATAATGTAAGAATGGAAATTTCTATAGTTTACAAACTATGCAGGGCACATTATATACAAGCCCATGATCAAATTAATGTTATTAAGACTAAAAAATAAACAAATAAATCAGGAAGCAACAATGCTTCTCGTGTGCTCAACTACACTAAAAAGCCTATTAATTTGATTAATACAAGATGGAATGGACAGAGGAATGCTCAAAAAATTGCTAAAAGTGTAAAAAAGACCACCATAAATGCAAAAGAAGGTTTCATCCTAAATGAGCTATTAGGTGAAAGCCTCCCAGAATTTTGTGATGGGTCTGTAGCCACAGGATTCACAGCACTGGCAGGAGAAACAGCAGGAGAGCGCGATGGTTTATTGGAGACCACGTCAGCATAACCTGAGAAGACCATATATTTCGTTGTTTAACAACAATCAATGAAGAAGAAAAATAAAGCATGCTAAGTTATAAGCTTGAAGAGGTTAAATATACTCACAATTAGATTCCTTCCAACCAAGATTCATGTTGTCACGATCAAAGACTATATTGTAACCAGTCATGAAATTTTCTGCATGAAGAGAAATATAATAAATGTGGCAAGTTTGAACCAATGTCATACATGATTTTTTCATAAGGAATGATTTATGATTTTAGATGAATATTGATTTATGTTGCAGTTGTAGCACCTATGTTAATAAAAGGCATAAGTTGACAAAATAGTTTCCAAAAGGACACTATAATTGATAATTCTGAATGCAAAACTTTTATATACATATGTTTTGTCAAGAAAAATTTCTTCTTTTAAAATACTCACGTCCAATGATATTAATGTTGTCACTTTTCTGGATTCCCAAACAAGTAAGATTTCCTTCAACCTGGATATCACAAAATGAATTTGAGATTTAGAAGGTTGAGAATCAATTGATATCATAAAATCAGATGTTCAACCTTATGCTCTCACCGCACTAGAAACTAGTACTGTTGGATCCATGACATAATAATCATCTCCACCTTTCATAGTTAGATTCAAGGGAACTTCAATTGTTTGATTTGAACTGCAGGTAAAGTGGAAATCAGAACATGATTGTCTAAACACAAAAATAAGTTGGGGGTTTCTCTCAAGCCATTATCACCTTATAATGTCATAACAGTATTCAAAGGGAATATTAGAATCAGATGGTTGAGATGAATGCCGATTTGCTTTGATTAGTGAATTGAACTGCAGAAACAATGGAAAATTTTTAACAACTCATATGACATGGAACTCACAATCCCATCTTAAAAAAATACTATGTCGATTAGTTACCTTCTCCGCAATTTGTGTATAAGCCGGGTCGCTTAGGTATGTAAACGATGTACCAGAGTCAAAAATTGCATCAAACTCAAGATCAGCAACATTTCCTCCCACAATAATTTGGGTAATGGTGATGTTATAAGTTGGACTGGCAAGAAGAATCCATGATTAAATAAGCACTAGTAAAGTTAGACACAAGATTTTTTGTTTCTAGTTTCTGTTGCATATTTTAGAGTGCAAGCATATACAACTGTTGTGTAATTTAAACACAAGATGTTATAATGTTGAAAGAGGAATGATAGATAATATACACTTACTGCAATGCCCCGAGGTTGAATGGTGTTTTTCCTTGGTCCAAGCTGCCACTATCCCCAAAGGTGATTCTTCCAGAACCATCAGATCCAAAACACATTGAAAAAGAATTTGAAATAAGCCCTTGTTTGGCTAGGACGCTAGGAACAGATATATCATCCATACCAAGTCCAATTAGACCATTTGGAGCTGCCCCATTTAGAAACAAACCAGTCTGAACTTGGCCACAACTGTATCAAATACCGTAAATCGATGTTAAGAAGATCCAATCCAAAGGTTGTTAATAGCAAGAAAATGAGAAATGCAAAAAACAAAATAGTTAGTTACAGAAAGCAGTTTCAAAGAAAGAGAATCAAAGATAAGCAATGATATTGAAATATTAGTTTAAGGATCAACTTGGAACAAGGAAATCTCCAGGTCATAAACCTGGCACAGGTTTCCTGGAAATCACTTGCAGTATATCCCTTCATAGTCCAACCTTCAAAGAAGCAGAGTGATGTGTTTTGGCCAAGAATGTATTGAGGCTTCAAATATATATATAGGGTCAAGAATATAAGCTACACACTCAATTTTAGCCGTGGATTCTATTTATATATAAAGATCCTGATTTATTAGACATGTGAGCCGTTAGGTGCAAACAAATCAATGATCAAGATTTAGTGTAAGACTTCTTATTCTTACACTGGTGTAAAAATAACCTATCCCATATATATATATATATATATATATATATATATATATATATATATATATATAGGCAGTAAAATTTCTAAGTCAGCTGTTGAGAATTTTACCCAATAGTAATTTGTATGTCAGAATCTTTTGCTTGATCATCATCTGTAATTAAGTGCAACACATCCTCTATCAAGAATCCAGCAGATGAAGTACCATTTGAAAGATAGTCAACTTGATATGGACAACTGCTGCCAGATGAGGGGCATTGTTTTTGTTTACATAAGCTGCTATTGCATAAAATATTTTTGCTTGTGGATGACCCATCAAGATCATAGATATTAAGATCAATTACCTGCCAAAGAAAAGTTTAGGAAAAGAAAGAGAGATTAGATCAGTTTTATATAAGATTGATAAAGTAACCACAGAAAAGGGAAAACTGAATCCATTTAACCAAGACTAACCATCAAGATACCCAACAATTAATTATGATGCAAATGATGTTTCATATAAGGTGTTCAGTTTTACAAAGGAAAAACTAGTGATACAAAAATAATGATAAATGATTAAAAGTAGAGTATGAATCTTAACCAGCAAATAGAAAATGTATACCTGTCCACTTTGTGTCTTTAAACCGCGCACACAACTGGTACAATTACATGGTAACCAAAACAAGTCACTGCCAGTATCCAGTGCCACCAGAAACAATAAAGGTGGTGTCCCAACCGAAACTTTGGCAAAATGCAAACTGAAATCCAAATAACGAGGGAAATTATACCACATACACACTATAGTAGTAAATTGCTAACAAAACTTATCATTAAACTTTAAAAAAGAGGGAGAAAAAAAAAACAAGAAGAAAGATGGGGTGGGGACAAATATGTGATCGGAATTTTCAAGCTTAATATGGTTTTCCAATGGATCACATCAACCTGCACTTTCTCATGTAAGAAACCAAACACAGGTATATTCTTCTATGGTCAAAATTTAACACATGTTTCTGATAAAAAAAAACTATAACCCCGAAAAGTTTTTTTTTTTTCCTTTAAAAAAAATAATCAGAGAAAATAAATAAAAGTAGAAAATTGACAAGTGGCTGAAGAATTTTCATACAATCCAAAGTCACCAATTTGATAAGTCTCGTTGCCGTCGGCGAAAGTCCGAGGCGTTTTCTGATCGCCGGCGAGTCGACGGCCTCGGAATATGCGATCTCTGTGAACCATAGCAGCATAGTATTCAGGACTTCCCTTATGGGGTAGTTCATCAATGCCCAGAATTCCCTTAACTGGATCCGAGAACCTGTGGTGGATGTTGAACCCGAATTTTCCAAAGCCATGGCAACTCTCTGAAGCTAAACTAAACACCACCAATCCCAACACCAGTGATGTTATACACAGAGAGCCATGGCCATGGTTAGAACTACTAGGCCAAGCCATGAGTTGAAGGAAGCTAGCTATGTAGTTAAAGTTATATGGGGTTGGAAAATTTCCCCGGCAGAGAAAATATGCAGCTGAGTTTTCCCGGATTTAATGGTATGCTCAATTTAACTGTTCGATAGAAAATGTGCATTACCAAGATGTGTATAAAGAATAAAAATGTATGTTTTTTTTTTTTTTTTGGTAGATAAAAGTTATGGTTTTTGGGTTATGATCATTTGACATAAAATGTTTTCGGACACGTAGAGAGAGGTGGTGTTATGATTTAAGAAAGGATATGTTTTTTTGAGGATTTTGGTTGTTGGTATTAGATTCAGGCATGATACATACACTATGGGGAAGATTCCACGCGTAAAATATGTGGGTCCCGCGATTGATGCATTCAATTTAATTTTATACTTTATTGTTATTTGGAGATTTTATTTTTTTAGTTCACCTTTAATTGGTTGATTAATTTAATGAAGGACGTAAGTTTGTTTAGCAGCGAAGCCAAAACATTTTTGCCTTTTCCCATTTCTGCTCCCATGTGCTTCTTGTTTCTACATCTATGCACCACCAAATTAATTTCATTTCTATTATCTGTCTTGCCTTGTTGAACTTGAACTATAGAACAACAATCCTATTTGAATCCTTTTCCTGCCCATACAATATTAATTTGTTATTGTGTGATGATCGTTGACATTCTTCAGTGGAAACAAAATTTAGTCTTAAAAGAAAATAATATTGTATTAGTTAACTTATTCATGTTATACTAACACCACATGAAATTTTTGTATTCGAGTTTATTCATATTCACATTTGTTTCCGGTTTGTGTTGATAAAAAATAACACCAAAAAGATTAACACATTTGTTTCCGGTTTGTGTTGATAAAAAATAACACCAAAAAGATTAATGCTTGCAAACAAAACATTGATTTGCATTAATTTTCTTTTAAATTATTCATAATTATTCATATCATGTTGTGTCAACTTATAAAATTAATAAGTCATGTTAGTGGATCATGTTCGTATCGAAAGATTTAACACAAATCTTTATACATATCGTGTTTGTGTCAGATCTTGATTAAATATGAATATAATTCACCTAGAAGAATTGCTAGTCTTTAGTCAACCCTTATACATAACTCAACTTTTATTTATTCTTACAAGTATGTAAGTATCACTTAATTGTTAAAAATTGAAAATTTCTATTTAATAAAAAATAAATAATATAAAAGGACCAAATGATTTTTCCTAAAGAAGAAATGAGGAATAGAATAAGGAAACTAATCGTGTAACGTAAACACAGGAATAATCTTAATGGGTATAAGAAAGGAGCATCAAAGGATGTGGTGATTGAAAGAATGGTGAAATGGAGGGGACAAAACTAGAAGAAAAATAAAGAATAGGGGTCAATAAGGGATGCAACTGCAAAGTAAGGGGGCGTTAGAGAGTTAAAATGGGTTCGGGTAAGGATGTTCACATTTCCATAATCTATAATCGGGGTTTTGCCTTTGGTATGACGTATGAGAATAACCTTTATTTACATAAGTTGTGTATTGAAATAAATTAATAATTAATATACTATTATTTTTGTATTTAAAATAATGATATTAATTAAGGAAAAGTTTATAGACCGCACGTAGTTTACTCTTTTATCACTTTATCTTTATGCTTTTTTCCTTATCAATTACTTCATGTGATTTTATTCTATCCAAGTCCACTTTTAACACTGTTAATAATTGAACTAACTTTTCCATTTTATCTTTATTTTACTTGTTAATTAATCTGATATAAAAAATTTAGACACCAGCGCTAAATAAGCGAAGTTTAAGTTTATTATAAAGACAATAAGAATAACAATATGTCTTGTCTTTTTCAAAGATTTCACGGAAAGAATATAACATTCCTAAAAAAAATCACAAAAAAGGTTATGTTTGAAAATTTGATAGTTAATATGATTTTCTTCATTTTGTCACATCTAGCTATAAACTGTCTTGTGTAAAAAAATTTCAAGCCCCTTTCCAACAATTATTGTTCTCCCATCTATTATTATGTATTGCTTTTTCTAGTTATAATCAAGTAAACTTTGCCATCATTTTTATTTTTAGGATTAGATTTTATTTTTGATAAACAAAATTTCAAACATAAAATAAGGATACAATGGATGAATTAATATAATTATTAACAATGTTAAAGATAGACTTGAATGGGAAAAAAAATCACAGAGGATAATTGATAAAAAGTATATAAGAATATAAGTAATAAAAGAATAAACCATAAATCTTTATGAACCTTGCACTATTAATTATTAACTAGTTTAATTTACCTAACTTAGTCTAGTAAATAAACATGATCATTTATCTTTGCTGGAATAAGAGCATAGGTGGCACTTGTCCATCAGTTATCACTTGCGTTGCTAGGTGGATTTTTAATTGAGAAATGGGTCAACTAAGTTCAGCCATGTGGCAGTACTAGTTAGGGGGTGTTAATTTGTGAAGCTGGTTTTCCCAAGTCTTTGCTTGCGGATGCATCATTTTATTTGATTTTTTCTTCATCTTCTTCTTTTTTTGTCTTTTCTTGTGATGCATGAATGAATCATGAAAACGACGGTGCGGTTGCCGAGTTGAGCCACCGCATTCTGCACTTAGAGACCTTCCAACCAAAATTATCAACCCCAAATATCTTATTTAGAAACATGACCGAAGTGAGAACCACCTGTTTACGCTATTGTTTAATAATTATGGAGTCATGGATAAGCTTTTTAAAGCATATCATGTGTTGATGAGGAAATATTTTCATACTTATATCTTTCAGTATTAAGTAATTATTTACTAAAAAAAAAAAAAAAAAACTTGCTTTCTTGTATTTACTCTATTCAGAATTTATTTTTTCCTATTTGTAATGAAAGTGTACTCATCCCCTACGTAGTCCTGAAAAATGCTAGTCCATTAGAATCTCTCCATTGGTAATATTTAAGAGCCTAATAAAAGTATTGAGTTAAATTCTTGTTTGTTCAGATTTAGTAGTAATTGTAATTACCATGCTTACAATGCAAGAATATTCCTCTTTTTCAAAAAATTTATAAAAACATTTTTATATTTTTTTTTAAAAAGTAAAAGTTATTTTATATTTAAATGTAAATATTTAGGGAGAGAAAGGATGATTCAGAAAATTTAAATTGTTTGAATAAGTAAGTAAAGATACATTTACTACTATCAATAATGATAGCTCAGTTGACGCATAGAAGTTAAACATGTGAGGATGACAGTAGGTATTCGATCTTTCCCAGTATTATCTTTAGGAGGAGTTTAAAACTTTAATCATGGATCCGCCTCGAATAAAATTGTCTTTTGTGGAGAATACATGTGATTTATTCAACAACAAAAATATATTTACCTATATAAAAAAAATACATTTTCAACACCACCAAATTTATGGATCAACCCATTAATGATTGTTCCCGTTTAATTAGTGATCAAGTTCAAGTTCCTAAAAATATAGTTGTGTTAAAATAGGGAGGAAAAGCTTAACTGCCAATATAGTGTCCACCTAGTTTGACTTTAACAAATTGAATAATTAATCAACCATAAAAAAAAAAATACATTTTCATTTAGTATCCTGTTTGTATAATTGAGTAATATGGTATTACAATAGAAAATATAATAGCACAATAGTTAATGTACATAAAAGAAAATAAGGAAATTATTCCATTCTTTTATATTTTTTACGTTTTCTTTAAGTTGGAGTGTGCATAAATTATATGTAACGAATTTGTTAGAAATATAACTAATTAAGTAAGGGTGCGCAAAATAACCAAAAAACTAAACAAACCATGAACCAAGTCAAACCGCCCTTAAAATAATCGGTTTTTAAAAATCAGTTCATGAACCGAACTAGTTTTTAAAGAACCAGTTCATGAACCGAACCGGTTTTTAGAACCAGTTTAAGAACCGAACCATTTTGAACCGAATCTGTTATTATGTATTTTCTAAATCATGTTGGTACCTGTTTGTTTGCTATTGGGCCAAAAAAAATATATCCTTCTGTTTTTTGGTAAGGCCCATATATTGATATCTGTTATATCACTGCATCACAAATACGCTGCCGTTTTTGGTTAAGTTGCAATTGTTGATAATATAATACCTATTTTCCCTTTAACGCTAAGCCTCATATTTTTTCAGGGATAACGTGGCATACATTTTTTCTGATTCCTTTAGTTTTTTCTCTCTCTCAGTTCATTCCTTTTCTCTGAACAAAAGGGGAAAGTTAGGGTTTGTATCAAAACCTGTGAGGACGATTTGAGTGTGAAAACTTGTGAATCTCATCTCAAGGCTGTTGAGAAAGTTGTTCCTATTACAAAGATACATAGTTTAATCGGTTTACTTTCTGGAGATTCTTGCAAACGTTGGTGAGAAGGTGTTGCATCGTGGAGCTTCTCTTGGTCGAAGAAGAGGTTGTGAGCTCTCATGGAGTAATCCACGGTTTTGGTGGAGCTGGATGCATGATTGGTGAAATCTTTCCTTTACACATCTTCAGTTTGCAAGTTCTTGATTTTATATGTACTGTGATAGTGTACATGTGATGTATCTTTGTAGTTCTATTTTTCTTTCTCTGTTATATGCCTTGTATATGCTGTATTGGTAGAGTTACAAGTTTAGTATCTTGAACTCTTTGTACCTATTATCTGTTTCTGAATAAGAGTGCATGCTAGAGGGCGTTTGACCCTCACTGGCCAACTTGGATGTAGGAAATTCTTTTACAAAAAATTTCTGAACTAAGTATAAATTTCTGGTGTTGGTCTTTATGTTTTCCGTTTCTGTGAGTCAGTTTTCTGGGGTGATTCTTGGTAGCTCTATACCAAGAATTGTAACAGAATCGAACTGTTTCTGAACAGAGCCGAACCGTTTTCAAACCGAACCAAATTGATTTTTATAACTTTATTTGTTAAATTTTATTTTTTTTTCTTTTCAAAATAGGGTCGACCATTATCGATTCCAAACCGAACAGAACCGTTTCCAACCGAACCGAACCACTTCCGAACCGAACCATTTAAACCAGTTCGGTTCGATTTTTTTAAAAATTCGGTTCGATTCGACCCATGCACATCCCTAAATTCTTAAGATCTTTCAAATACACACTTAGCATATGTTTGTAATAATTTATTTTTAGAAAACAACTATTCTTTCAAATATTCACAGTCGCCGCCGCCACCACCACCACACCATATGGAA